GCAACCAGTTTGGACTCCGGCGGGACTCGTGATCTAACAAGGGCTACGACACACACACATGTGCACCAGAGCCTACTCTTCAATTAATGGTCTTAAGTTTGTCAGATTCACGGTTAGCACTGTCTGGCACATTAATTTGGGCGCACGGCTAAATAGCAGATTACTCTTCTATACCGAATAACCGAATTTAATACCGATGGCTTGCAAATTATATAAGGCTCTTCAACAGAATTTTTCGGTGTGAGTTAGGTACAAACAGGCCTAGCTGCTAGATATCTGGTGCACCCAACGGTGGCGGATAGAAGAATAGCCTTCTGTGAAGATTAACTGCGAAAATAGTAGGCTCGAGGGACTAGTGAGTAAGCAACCAGCAGCGACAGTATTACCGGAGCGCAGAGGGATGAGGGCTGGCGCACCAACTGCCTTATAAAATGCCACAAGTCCCAATGGCGGCACCGTGAAATGACGATTGTAATCCGGAATTTAAGTGGTTTGCCTAAAACCGCTGCCTTGTGTTTAGGTTCTTGAGGCAAAGCTGGAGAAGACAACCTTGGACAATCAACCGGACCAGCTGTTGGGCACCTGCCGGTATTCCATATCCCTAAGAACGCTAGTGCCAATGTCATTATTACGATCCAGCCTACGGCGACTGTGGGAACCGTTGCGTTTCACGACTTGTATCCAGTGGTTTTGCCGAATAGTATGTGAGTTGGACCACTCGACCGGTAACGTACTCTTGATGCAGGAGTTAGTTGAAGGACTTCCTTGTCGTGATCTGTTGACTGTTGAAGTTGACTGGACCCAGGGCCTCGTCAAACAGTTAACCTTCTGGTAGTTCTGGGCTTGGCTCTCCATCCGACAATGGTGAAAGGATGCTACTTTTTGCCGATTATAACCGACTGTTTCTCACCAAAATATGCTTTCAGCATCGTCAAAGACATCTGTCAACCTGGTATTCAAATGGTAGTCATACCACCATACATTCTAGTTGGTTCAAGGTTCCGTAAGTGGGGCCACGATAGGAGGTAGATATGCGGTGCCGTAAGTGGTAGTGAGCACCGACCTGATCATTTCCTTTTCGAACACGCTTGAGGATTTATCTCTAATTTGCGTCCAAAATGCCTTGAACTCACAAAAACTCCGGCAATGTAGCACGACTGACGCCCTAGGCACAGAAATCCAGTCCCGTTTTAAGACCTAAGCTGACATTGATGGTAGAAGTCAGTGTTCGTCACCGAAGTTATCCGTCTATTGGAAAGCTAAAGAAACTTGTATTCATTCAGTAGCGCCACAGTGACTGGGTAAGCGAAAGAATCCTACGGCTAGACGGCTAGAGCCGCAACGATGCTTCCTTTTACTAACTCCGAGAGCTGACAGCCAAGTCGGCTAGGGATAACCCGCAGAAATATTGCTCAGAAACAGTGACTTCGCGGAACTAGCCTCAAATTTGGCTGATGCTCGAAAACCCTACTAAATTATCTTCCTTCCACACTTATTTACTCCGTTCGCGGTGCGAATGGTGGCTTTATTACTGTAAAATAGACCAAGGTTGATCGCTGGCGTTCACTACCATTTACTTAAATGTGTTTTTTCTTTTGTTAAGGAGACACTCGCGAGTACTGATGTGAGCAAAATTGTAGCAGGTGACGAAGATGCCGTTTTAGACGTCATCTGGAAATTATTTCTTCTGTCAGAGGGCAAGCAATCGAAAAGTTCTCAGGTACGGTTCCAGATGTTGTTCTGCGATATAGGTGGATGAGAGCAGTGCTACGGGTAGACGTGTTGTGTTTACTGTTAACTTCGAACCTCCGCCCCCCCCTTTAAAGCAATAATTAGGTTGTTGCATTTCAATGTGTGCCATTCCATGCACTCCATGTCCCTCCAAACAATGCGTTAATGCCGGCTCTCATCCTATCGTCATTCCCACAACGGATGAGTGAAGTTTTTTTCAGTTGTTTCCCTGGGTTTAGATTTTCTTTGGAAATGTTTCAACCGTCATAGTAATTTGGCCTTTTTATCGCAGGTTGAGAACGAAATCCATGAAGTTAAGGCTAGTCTCGTAGCCTGGTGCAACCAACAGGCTTCAGCAGCTTTGCTCCAGGAGAGTCGGGATTTCAGCAGCTCATGGTGGAATATTTGGATCTTTTCTCGTCTTGCCGAGGCTCTCTTCCAGAAACCAGTCGATGTTCAGACCCCCGGGGATACGGATCGCCTAAGCTCTGCATTATCTTCATTTGAAATCAATTTTGGCCTCCCTCAGGCGATAAGCGTGGAAGGTATGTTCGCAGATGTGCCAAAGGTTTTTGCGCTGTAAGGTTTTTTTTGAGTACACGTGTGTTGGTGAATGCCAGATCTAATCACCTGGAATTTATGGGTTCGATGCTGGGACTTCCACGTTGCGCCTCTGGGCAACCAATCGCCTACACAGATATGTTATCCTAAGTTAGGCCACTCTGCTTTATGCTGTACACCAGCTTTTGTCGTACATGTCTAGGACGTGCGTCGGACGGA